GTCTGAAAAGTACTAAATAATTCAAGCTGCATGTTACGTACACAGTTGCTGTGTGTATTCTTTCACCCTCAATGACACTAAAGGCTTTATGGAGCCTGAATCAGAAATATGACAAATATTCAGGCTCCCAGTCTATGTCCGAATTACTTGACTGCTGTTTGAAATTGAGCATGAGTCTGTGGATGTGGCTGCGGCTGCTTCCTGTAGAGTTGTGTGTAACTTCAAGCCGCAGCCAAGTACATGTAATTCAGATACAGCCCAAGTGGCTGGGATTCTCTTCTTCCCTCCCTCATCTTGACTTCTTCCCTCCCTCATCTTGACAGGGGAAAGGCCGCTGTGGAAATCAGGAACAGGCACAAGTCAGAGGAGGTGGTGGCCACAGTGAGGAGGTGCAGTCTGCCGCCACCGTCAGACACCCGGACCTCCTGGGAGCCTGTGTGCGATGCTGGTGCACGCACACGTGGACATGCTGTGTCTGGCTTGTGTCGTGGCGATGCTGTCCATTCTGAGGCGACAGATTTCTGGAGGTGGGACGGAGGAGCTGCGATAAGTCCTCTTGAGCTGGGCGACCAGGAGGTAATTTATTCATCGAAATCTCTAAACCATTGTAAATGTTTCTTTGCAGTGGCCGCTTACTTGTGTTGTAACATTCCTTGAAGCAGTACAGCGGAACGTCAATTTACAAGTCTATTCACTTTTGTATATATTATTGCTCTCACGCTTTTTAGGTTCAAGTAAACATATTGGAAACAGTGACAACCTAAATTAAAACTTTATCAATATGTAGCCGAAGGCATAGAGTGACCCCTGAGAAAGCTTTCAACGAAGCGTCCAAAGGTTCTGCTATAATTTGAAGCTGTTTTATCACCAGGACTTTGTTGAGTGTGGTATGGGCAGCCACACTTTCCGAATTGAACGAATACAAATTTTAGTACATACAGTACATGCACACCTACATGTACAATTTTTTATTCAGTGTGAAGAGTTTTTCAGAAGTTTCTCAGACCATTTTGAAATGCAGTCATTTTGTGGGTAGATAAAAATGTGGCGGTGTAAATATCTTAAAAATGGATTTTAGTGTCGCAGAGTACAGTATTGATGGCTGGAGCGATTTGCAGTATTCATGGTTGTCCCCCCCCCAAGTTAAGCACTTATTGGCATTCCAGTAAACGTAGAGCTTTTAAAATAACTGAATTACAGTACAGGCTGCAGCTTTCACACATCATTCACCACTCTCCTCTGAGCCCCCAGATACTGAAGTTTGTTTTCCTTGTCTCACAAGAGAGCTTTCTGTGTTAGCTGTGCATACAAGTCAATTCCATTGTAGCCGGGATTCTTTCATCAACTTCCTGTTCTGTGGCCAGTGCTACATGTAAATGCAAGCCCAGGACAAGTGCAAACATTTCAGAAACTGTCATAATATTTGGAAATCTGTCCTCAAACGTCTCCCTCTTTGCCTCAGATTCCCAGCTACCTACGTCCGCCCAGCAAATCGAGTTATCAGTGGCAGTCAAAGATTTCTCAGATATCCTTTGAAAGACTTCAAGAACTGTTAAAAAGTTGTTATCGGTGTAGAATTAAACTTTTACAGGGTCTATCGCTGTTTTCAGATACCGATAGATGTGGAAAAACAAGTGCTGATGTGTTCAACCCAGACAATCAGCAGAAATCCAATAATCTCGTTCGTTTTGTTTATGAAGTGAAAATGTCATTCTGAACACTGATGTTAGGCTAACGTTGCTGGTACTGCAACTCACTGCTGTATTCCTAATTATTTGTGGAACCAGTGAAAGCATGCTGAAGCATAACAACATTATCTATTAAAGTGAAGATGCATGGGAAACTCTGTTCATCAAAGTTTCTCCTCAAATGGAAGGGAAACGACAAGGAAAAGAGAAGTGTTCTAGTGCATGATGGCACTCGTACTGTGGCAACAGTGGTAAGTGTTGTCCTTCATCAACAAAGCCTTTGTGAAAGGAACTCGTTTCCTTAACTGTGGCTTCTCTCTTCACGTTCCTGAAACTCCGCCTTTCCTTGAGAATCCAATCCTTTACAGCCACTTGGACAGTGAAGAAACTGTGGGGCTGGCCACCAGCAAAAGTCCAACAGTGTCTTCCCATCACAACTCAAGATGGGACCAGTTCATAATGCAACAAGAGGACTGATAGATAACATCAGATGCCCTATCTAATGGTACATTATACATGTACCTAAAACAAATCGTATGATACCGACTTGGAACCAAGTCTGTCTGAGAAGATCCGGGCAGCACTCAACAGAGATTATTTTGTTCTCATTTTTACAGAAGACATTTAGAATCTTTGCAGACTAAATTGAATGTTAGTATTGAAATGAAAAGAAAAAAAAATCTTTGAGTCATTTTCGTGAATGCCAACATCAATTCCTCTGTTGCCCATATTTAGTGAAAATAAAACTGCAAAATACAGAACATTTATTATGTATTAATTTATTCACATAAACTAAAACATGTACAAAGTTTCTTCAAAACTAAAGTTATTGACTGTTTACATGTAAACAACCTAGGCACTGAATGCTGTATTGCCAATGATCTCTTGCTGAGCAAAGCAAAGTAAAAGCATATGTAAATGTAGTGAAAATGTTATCCAAGTATTGCTTGCTTGCCAAATGTTATTGTTATTTTTAAAATGTAAATATATTCCAGAATATATTCCTTGTTTGCAAAATGTTGAAAAGTCAAGTTATTAGATCAAATGACATCTCATTCATCACAATATCCAATATCTTTTTGACAGTTTTGAAATCGCTGGCTGGAGCATAAAAATTCAGATTGCCAGCTCAGTACGTCATGCACACTGATGTCTTTTTATGTAAACATATTTTTTATTATTAAATCCATCCAATAGCAAACAGTTTATCCTGAAAAGCCCTCCAAGTTGGTCCACAAATTCAGACCAAATCTGTCTTGATTGCCCAACTCAATTGTAAATAGTCTTTTGGTGTTCAATAATATACATTTTTAGTGCTAAAGTAGTCTGGGTAATAAACAGATTTCTAGCAGTGATATCAACTCACTGAAGGTAATAATTAATCTGCATATTAAAATTTGAGTCAGGCCAACATGACTTGTGTTTGACAGATACAATACTTTGTGGGGCACACAGTATATAAATCAATTGCAGTTCTGAAACGGGTAGGGGCCTACCATTGTTGTCTTGGGAATATGGTGCTTGGTGCTTCTCACAGAAATGCGAAGAAATTCATGTTTGCCATTTGAGCCTAAAAGCTAAATTAAATTGCTCAACAGTTCTTGGAATGGATACTCAGCCTACAGGTTGTTGCTACATATGCATCATATCAATGTTTCTGGACAACTCGGCCTCCATTTTCCCCTGTTCAAAACCAATGACAACATCAAAGGTGACAGACTGTGTCAAAGAATTGAATTTTGGAGCCGCACAAGGTGTCTGATTAGGTGGAAAGCTGAAGAATGCAAAATATTAACGTACATGATCTGACTCGGCCCAGCTTGTTTACATTTCATCGTACATTCGCTATTACGGCAAAGACGCACATCTGTTTTTACTGGAGCAACTTGTAACAATGGCCGCAAAGCCTGTCGTCATTTTGACAGTGAATGAAGAATAGAGAGTAAAGTGATGTACTGATGTGAAAACAAATCAACTCTTGGCATACTGAAAAGGAAATCCTGATATAAAAAACAGGATATTTTCATAATTCCATAAGTGGCTGTTCTGCCAGGTGTGTTCTCAGATTGTGTTACTCTCAGTGCTGAACCCAGACTCGACTCGACTCGACTCGACTGACCTTTGGATCGCTGCTTGTGAGTTAACCACCACCCTCAGACTACCCTATGCCATTTGGTACGGTGAGTTATACATGTCTCGGATATTGTGCATTCCACCTTCATTTTGTATGGGACAATATTTCACGAGCTGCACCGATGCGATTCTACCATAATAGGCCGATTCAGAAACAAGGAACAAATCTTTACTATTGTCAAACAGAGATATTTGACCGAAGGGTTAGGACCAATGTACACGTACAAGGCACACATACATGTAATACACAGACAAAATGACGGACCGGACTGACACTAAAGTGCACTAAATGAGTCCATGTCAAGTGGTCAACATGGCGTCAGGCTACCGTATCTCCCAGACTGCCAACCAATATCATGGACATCTTTATGTGAATGCGGCCGGCCGGCTCGAGGCTCGCAGTTCTGGCTTCACAGCTGGCCAAAACCCCCCCTCCCTAAACTGCATTTAATAATGGCGAGAAAATGATCAAGGACTGCACCTACCAGTTCTCTCTTGGCCTCCTCGATCCTGACTTTGGCCAGCGATATGTCCGGTGGCAGGTTGTGGTAGCTATCCAACTTGGACTTGAGGGGTGCTAACTTGGCATTCAAAGCGACCAGTTCCTGCAAAGACGAGACAAGCCAGACCATCAGATACTTGTAAGTACATGTCCCGCTTGTAACGTGCAATAAACCTCACAGCACCCTCAGCTAGTACTGCAGCCAGCATCATCTGCTTAGTCAAAGAGGGGTAAGATCTTGTCCATGTAACAGTTGGACTTAAGCGCCAGCTCTCACCCTCCCTAAAGGCTGGTTCATACTTCAGGAAAATGCAAAAGCGAGGCAAATTAGACGTCACGACAACTTTGTGGCGAAATTTCCGTCGAGTTGAAATGTGTTCAACTTGTACGCATTTGCAACACCAATATTTGATCTGACGTCACAAATTCATGTTCGTTTTTGCTTTTGCGCCGGCCAAGGTCAAGAAAATTTCTGAACACTAAATATGTTCTTAAACTTAAAACATACCTCAAACAAGAAAATATGGTAAAACAGCAGCCAATTTTTCAAAAACGTTTTTGTCCAATATCTCTCCCTGTACCAACTTTGCAACAGGAACGCAAACATGATCTGTCTATCAGTCTAAACACAGGCACCAGTGATTGATTAAAGCGTCAAGTACCGGTATGGACAAGTATGCCTCAACTTGCCTGTGGCTGACGTTTAAATTTGCTCACTCCCAATTGCTTGGTACAAACATACACTACGTCTTTTGTCTGTGAAGTTGGACTTTGCTGCTGTGCCCAGCCGGTTATGTCGGCAAATATCGCTCTGTGAGCACGCCCCAGAGTGTTGAAAAATATGCATTTGTGGTAAGAAATAACAAATAATGTTCAAAGTCCTCTTGTGAATCTGTATTCTGTGGCATTTGGTTCCGTATCAAATGTTGGCCGTTTTATCTTGCCTCTTTCGAAAGTCGAAATTTTCGGCCTAAAAATGATACTGTTGGCAAGTGGTTCGGAAAAATGACAAGGACGCATACAGAGCTTCTATAGCCCCACAGTGTTAAACAATGGCTGACTACCAAATTACGGAACCCATGACAGACATTGCAAATTTAAGTCTGTAGGGAACACAGGTGGACCTGTGACAGGTGGACCTGTGGGCTAATGGGAGCAAAAGTCGGATGGCTATCCAAACCTACCTCTGATAGCTTGACCAGGCTTTGGTGGTAGAGGGAAGGCTCGACGTTATTCCGTTCCAATTGCATCTGAAAAATAAGGGGGGAAATTCAGAACTGATTGATGATGGTCTTTTTACATCTCAGCTTACAAACAAAGAGGAGCACTGACTGACACAAACTGACCATGATTCAGAGGGACACTCACACTGGTCTGTTCATCAACATGTGCCAGTCACCACTTTTACTGGGCAGGGATCCACACACAAGTCAAATACACTTAGTGTTCTCATCAGTGGAACTCTTGCCCAGGTGTGCATGCAAGACCATCACCCCAGCAAAGCTACATGCAAACTACATACGGACAGATGGCGGTACACATAGATGCTGCCTTTCTTTGGGCCGTGACATTTCCCTGGCCATTAAATACGTCCGAGGTGTAGCAGAACAAACATAGCACGGTTGATTTCAGATGGATAGTCAAGTTTAGCTCAACCCAGTATTGGGACTTTAAGTTGAAAAACTAATTACCGAGGCAGAGTTTAATTGACTATCCGCAATCTTTCTTAAAGGCTGTTCAACACGCTAACAGACCACCATCCTACGCTGTGTACAACACAAGACCCAGTAAAGGGGGCCTTTTAGGTTCCCGTCCTGTTCACACTGTTTCCCTGATTGTTTTTGTTTTTTTGCCAAGTCTTGATCTCTCTATATTCTGTTCTTTATGTGCATCAGCATGGAGGCTAAAGCTGGGTCGAAACCATGGGGTGATTTCTGTTTTTAAATAAAAATCAATGTCCACGTTAATGTCCAAACTGACAGGTACATGTAGCTTTTGTCCTGTCCATCACTATGACAGCAAAAGGGAATAACAACTTAGTGAGAGCATGAGGCGCTGCACTGTTTAGCTCAAATTGTAACCTGCATGCCGATTCTCATGTAAACTGTTCGTATGCATTAAAACACTCACAGAATTGTTACACCGCTTGGGAAATGTGAGCGACCCCCTTTACGGTGTTTTTGTGTCACACATGCACCTGTAACTGATGAAGCTGGGCTTGATACTCCTTGGCCTTGCTGTTAAGGACCCCTGCTTGTTGATTCTTCTTCTCCAGTTCCGGGCCTTGGAACTCTGCCTGCTCCTCCAAAGCTTGCAGGGCTCTTTGTACGTCAGCGAAAACAGCAAAGAATGGAAATATCCAGCTGCCTTAATAACAACGCTAGAGGCCGGTTCATGCTTCGGGCGAATGCAAGATGGGAGCGAATTTGATGTCAGGAAATAATTGCGGCGAAATGCCCTTGAGTTGACGTAGTCAACTTTGCAAATATTTGCTCCAAAATTTGATCAACGTCACAATTTTGCATTCTTGCTCATAATTACATGTATGAATTGGCCTTACGGCTTTCAGTCCCTGTGGATTTGGATCTGGGTCATTCCATAAGGTTGGGGCACAATTTGTGACAATGTCCTTGCTACATAGGTAACTTTTACCACCTGTCATGACCTGTAGTGTAGGTCATTTACTCTGTAAAAATAACATACACCTCTGTATTCAGCCTCACCAGATGTATAATTTGGAATCCACATGCAGGGAAATAGCTGTTCATTTTAACAGAGCCCACGTAACAATGGACACCGTCACAAATTGTGCCACAACCCCACGGAATGACCCATCTGGGAGAGTCCTAACATCAGGTAATGACTCAGGAAGCAAATATGCAGTTCGGGGGGGGGTAGTTGGACCCAGTTTCACTTCCTGATACATGTATTCCGTGCCTGAAATCTTGTTCCTCGTTTGCCTTTCCAAAAAAGAAACTACTTTTCTCTTGAAGAAATGAAGAAATAATCCAGCTGATCTGAGACTATTCCACAGAAATGTGGATCAAGGGCGTAAATTGCACAGGAAGCAATGGTGTCCTGTTACACACAAGTCGTATGCATGGCGACAAATAACCTACTTCTGGGTTTGCCATGTTTTGATATTGACTAATATTATAACAAGTACCTGGTTCCAAGAATATTTTCACATGTGGGTAATTCCAGAAATTAGGGGTCCAAAAGTGTGACATTTTCGTGTCCCTGTTACATCTGACCTTTGTTATTTGACATGGAGATATAACCGGAAGTAATTTCAAACTATTACTATTTGTTTGGCAGGTAATTTGCATTAATTCATCAGTTTTGAAAATTAGAAAATTTGTTCTGATCGTACAAAATCCTTTGTCAGATGTGACAGGGACACGAAAAAAAATGCACCCCTGATTTCTGGAATTACCCATATACAGTACACCGTAGATATAGCTGTGCTTTAACCACTTCCTGCCGGGGATTCCGGATCCGGACACGTATGCTTTATATGCGTGACCGGGGTCTCCAAACTCGGACAAAGGGAACAGGGCGTTGTAACAAAAGACCGTACTCGGAACAAAAGACCAGGCTGCTGGGCATTACCGACATTTTTTCATTCTCAAAGGTGGAGATAATCCAGCCTTGTTTTAAAACAGTACACCATGGTTTGGGGCATTCAGAGCGATCGGATTACAACTGGGGACAAAAGCGCTCTACCACCGCAGCGATGAGCCACACAGCACCGCTGCATGCTGATCTGGCCCCTATTGAAAAGAGGTCAGCAGCGCACTGAGCCAGGTTCATGAACAAAAGAAAGTTATATAACACAGCACAATCTGGGCTCTTTTTACAAGGCTGCAGGCCTGGCTGAAATACTCAGGCGTCAATAGATTTTTGCCTGTCAGGCTAGAGTGGACACCAGACAGTCATTCACGTGTTTGTAAGTGTCCAGTAAATGAAGATAGGAATTTTTAAAGAGACAGAAAAAAATGATAACTATCCGTGCCCAGCATCATCAACATTGATAACCACCCCGGCAGGAAGTGGTTAAAGACTGTAAAACAGTTCTGTCGGAAGAATTAATGCTGGTGGTGTTTAGCAGAGGACCATTCCAAAGAATGCCAAGTTTAAAGGGACTCCGTCAAAATTCTTAGCTTACTTCCTCAGGGTGTTGCACTTGATGAGCGCTGCCTTTGTCTTGCTAAAGAGCTGCTCGCTTAGTCTCTTCTCTTGCTGTCGTGCCTCCTCTGTTTCCATGGCAACCTTGGACATCTCCATCATGGCTAGTAGGTAGCTAGAATTTTGTGCAAAATACACATAATTCCCACTGAACATGGGCAAAACCTCACTAGTTAAAAGCAGGGTTGAGCCTTGATATATAATAACTGCCGAAGTTTGATGCATATTCTGTAGCCCCTTACCTTTTTTTCAGCGCCAAATACATTTTTCCCCCTGTACATTTCTCACCATTACACATCCAAGGTTTCCAAAACATGTATGACATATTGGGTTTACAATAGTGGCTAACAGATGGAACCCTGCCAAGAGAAAAATAAGGCCAATGCTTGAATACCGCACACCACATGTCGAGTCCCACATGCGTACAATGTAGGTGCGAAACAATGCAGACCGTATACTACAAATCTGTGGAGTACATGGAAGTGCATGGGCGTTGCCAGGATTTTCCAGTGGGAGGAGGGGTGCTGGGAGAAAGGCATTTTTCCAGAGGGGCAGCTCTCCAGGAGGGGCAAAGCACTCGTGAGCAACAAACTCATAAACCACTAACAATTGAAAGGGTAAATATTGAGGTGTTTTCAAGCAACTTAATGATTTTCAACTGTTTTCAGCCGTAGTTTCTCGTTTCTTTTTTTTGTTTTAATCCTTTTATATTTCTCTTTTTTGGAGGAGAGATAGTGTCAATTCTGATAAAATTCTATTGTAACTGATGAGTACTTCATGGCTACTTCACAGATACTTAACATTTGCCAAACACATACTCAAAATCTGTACAGATCAATTAGACGAAACTCATGTGATTGGTGACTGCAGGGCTTGACCCCACTCAGCCTGATGCTGTATGTACATGTAGGTAACAAAGTGCCCTCTGCCGTACATGCACAATGTCTACAGGCCCAGGACGGAGGGGTTTGGTGGATCGGCCTTACATGTACCTGCTGGTGGAAGCGTCTTTGACCTCCAGGGTCCCTGCCACACTTGCCAAAGTCCGCAGGCTAACGTTGCCCGACTGGGAGAGGCTCGTTGCCGAAAGACCGACGGACTGCAATATGCCTGCAAGACGTATAGCTGCAGGCAGACAGATTAATGCCACAGATATACATTCAGTTCATTAATCCTTGATTGAAAACCAAAAACAGGTCTTAAAATCATGACTTAAAAAGAAATTGCTGAGATCTTTAAGTTCTACCACTGCAAGCCAAATGAATCTTTAAGTCTGTATATTGCCCAGAATAAACTTTTTTGTTATTGGAATGAATACAGGAAACAGAATTGATCTCACATGGAAACTAAATGATTTCAAATCCAGCTTTCTCCTTCCAAACACTGGGGACACCCTCTTCACCATATGCCACAAAGAGTCTGGTTAACTCTTGGCCTTCAAGGATAGCTGCAATCAATTTTTGTGATTACCAATCTCCAAAATGCACCTTTGTGCCTCAGTTAAGCTTATTTTCATCTTTTGTTTCATTATTTCAGAGGGTATTTTTAAAATGCCTTTGGGTTTTTATGCTGAGATTTCCATATTCATGCTCAAAATTGTGATGTCATCTCAGGAAGATGCGTCAGTGTTATATTGGTTTGTACACAAAAAGTCCTACACTTTTGTAGATTTTCCTGGACTAATTTTTCTCATTGCTGATTGTTGTGTATATGCAATGTGCATAGCAATAAGAAACCACCAATCCCTCTCTCAAAAATGTTTTCAGTTAGTAAATTCTGGGTCCTCAACTTGAACAGGAACACCTACGCACTGAGTCATGTCTTCCCTTAATGATGTCACAGCAACAGTGCCCTCAGTTGTCCAATTTTAATTGTTTAAACACATGCACTTTTAATAACCAAACAGGAGTGTAAAAGAGGTATCATACAAGGAAGAGTACAAAGATGCAGACAATTGTGTCAAAAAACACAAAAATTCATTGCAGAGCACTTTAAACTTAAGATGAGAGCCAAATTCTGACATCAGGTTCAGTATTTGCAGTGCAACTTAGCAAGTTTGTACGATATGGAACAAGACTGTCATACATGTACATTTCTCTTGATACTGTATTTTCACTGGGCCAGATTGGTTGCATGCCCGGTCAATAAAAATGCATATTACCCTCATGCTTGATCACTAGTCCCCATCCCACAGTCCAAAGTATAATGTGGGCACCGCTAACCAGCCCACTCCTATCCATTGATACCTGTGCTATTTTCACCCTTGTAGTTGATAATAGTAACATGCGGGGTAGCAAACTGCAATACTATCAGCTGCCGATGGGGTGCTATCATTTTGGGTTAAATACAGATTCTACAAATATATGTTTCAAATCCATTAACTTGAAGTTTGTTCCTTTGTATGAGTTCCTTTACATGAGTTTTATCGGATTGAAAGATACTGCTTTCCAGCAGGACAGGGCTGACCGACCGACTGACACTGACACGACTGACACAGTGCACTGAGTTTTTGTGTTTGTAAACCTTTCTGTGCAGTGGCAGACCAAGACATACGTGCACACCGTTTCAATTTAATTCAAGACGCTACAGGTGGAGGAAAATACTGACAAAAAGTGGGCTATGATGTATTATCACCCTCTGGGATGCAGAGTGCCCTCAGTATTGCCTCAGGTGCTCTGGGTCCCCAAGGTGTAAAAATATCATGTCTCACATCACAGCAGTCAATAGTTAATAAATATCATACCTTCTGTGTTGTATTCCTCTGTTTTCTGCCAGGCATCTTCCGTGACAATCTGGGCTTCTCTGTCTCTTTCTTGGTTCCTCGTCATCAGGCCTTGAAGTATCTCCATCGTCCGTTCATTTATCTCATACTGGGGGATTGCAGCCCCTGCAAAGGTGCGCTCCAGCCACGCCCTTACCTGCAGGACAAGAATTAACAGCAAGTTTTTGCCGTCAGTAAGGCTGGATTGAATGAAACGAAGCTTTGAACTTTTCAATGCTTGATTTACGTTTAGTTTCTACGCATTTGAAAGAGGGCATTGGGCTTCATTTTGACATCCTGAGGAAAAGACGTACACGTAATGTGGGTGAAAGCATATTAGCCAATCTCAGCACAGCTCGTTTGTCAAAGCAAAAAGAACATGAAGGAAGAGATGGGAGCTGTGCAGTGTCATGCTGTTGACGACAATCAAGAGAGTATACATGTGGCCAACTTTCCGTGGTTTGGCAAAGTACTCGTGAATTTTGCTATTTAATGAGATAATGAAGAGAATAAACCTCCCCAGCAGACATCTAAATGTAGCCTGATTACACTAAGAAGAGATCAATGAAATTATGTTGCACAAAGATTTGTGATGACAGAGCAACAGCAGAGTAAGTTGGCATAGCACATGGAACTCTTTCCGGTCTAGCCTAATCAAAATGAACAAAACTTTGCTTGTGCAATTACATGATGATTGATTGTCACTGCGATTGTATTCTTGGGGACCCCCCAGTCATGCCATTCTTTTGTCATTTTAATCTTGCAAAACTGGTTAGCCCCCCAACACCCCACAAAACAAAGGCAACACTCTTTTTACAATGGCGTTACGCTGAGGCTATTTTATTGGAAATTTGAAATTATAATTGTGACTTTCTTACTGATAAACGAGCCATGCAAATTTGAATCCACCATTTGTCATGTGTTAAAACACTCACAAATGCCCCTCATAAAATATCCCTAAAGACCCGTCCCTTTTTGGAGAACAGTTATTGAGCATGATGTCACAGTCATCTACGAAGGTGAACTCAAAAAGTTAAAACGTAGCTCTCCCTTAAGTGCTTATGGTTAACGTCAGGCCTAATTAATCAGGTTAATGAGAGGCGCGGAGCCAACATCAATCATGTCAATGACAATGCCAGTGTTATGCCCCAACTATAGTTGGGCCTATCCCAACTATAGTTGGGCCCGTCCCAACTAGAGTGCTACAGTTGGGCTTGCCCAACTACAGCAGAGAGCCCATGTGCATGATGTGCCCAGCATGTGTCAAAGTCATTTTGTTTACAAATGTCATGTCATTGGTCATAGGGCTAGATGAACAGATGAAGTGCCACATTTTAGATGAATTGTGTCAAGTGTGAGACACATTGACTTGGATAATGTTGAGTCATTTTCCACAGCCATTGCTTAACAATAGTTGGGCCAGCCCAACTGCAGCACTACAGTTGGGACTGTTCCAACTATAGTTGGGTTTTACGCTATACATGTAGTTGGGGCGTAACACCAACAAGTTGAACAACATATGCCAATCTGACACCGGTCCGGGGCCAAGTTCAACATTTTCCGTTGTAGTTTACTCTTAAAGTTAATAAACATGTCGGTTCCTGTAACTGGTGTCTAATACCTTACCTCTCTGTGTCTTTCCGAAACAACTTCGTCGCTTGACATTTTACCGTGTTTTACAGCAAGCCAAGTGATAATGGAGACGTCAGTTTTTTTTTCAGAACATTGTAAACTCATAAATAGCGCCCTCATCAAAGCTTAAAAATTCCCGCCACATTCTTATGCTGCATCCGAATCTCTTGTCTAGTGCTAGGTCTTCGCTCAATTGGAAATACATAGAGACAATAGACCTAGCCGTAGCTCTGGAAGCCCCTTTCGGACATGGCCTTAGCTCCGCATTCACTTCCTGGTAGTTAGACTTCACTACAAGTCGTACGAGCCGTTTTCCAATGGCGGCAATTGGTTTAAATGATGCCCTAATTAATCAATTATTTCTGGTCACATTCGACAAACTTTTCGTCCTCTTGAAAAAGAAGTGCTGGGACGACTCAAGTTGTGCAATCAACTACCACAAAATTGACAGCTTCGCTTGCTGTCATGCCATAGCTATATTTCGGGTCAGAACTGTTATTTCGTCAATACTGGAAAACTCCGACTGAGTGGATCCTCACGCTCAGAAACTTCAACGCTCTAGCTCTCCTGGCCTGTAGTTTTCCTTCTCAGTTCGTATAGTGTCTCCTGGTTGCATGTGCCATGAAACATAACGTTTAGTTAGACATCAAATACATTGAATGTTCGGGTTTCTCTCACTCGGTTTTGATGGGAAAGCGTCATAATTCCTACTAATAGCTTAATCAGGCTTTGCAATAAAAGGTGTAACTTGAAAGTTAACGTAAGGCTTCAGCCGGCACTTGCTGGCACTTGTTAAATTGGCGCTTGAGCTCCTGTCGGGTGCTTGTACCGTACATGTATAAGTCGAACAAAGCAGAGCCTTCTGGACCCCAAAACATTATTAATTCGGCACTGTCTAGTTGACCTTGCCCAAGTTACGATAATATGAGCAGGGGCTGACTTATCACATCGGTTTCTTAGCTGGAGGCCAGTAGGCCTAACCCTCTCTGAGTAGACTCTCAGCGCATCAGAAGATTTTGTTCGGCGAGGCATAGATGTAGGCACTGCAAGAAAATGCCTACGTAACATTGCAAGTTTACTGCCAATTATTGGAGCAGACCTGCAAAAAGTGAAACGCAGGCTGAAAAACACTTCAGCTAGTACAGTGTTGTCGAAATTTAGTACTGGAAAAGTACGCGGCCAGGTGTTTTTTCTGCGCTTTTTTAAAAGCTACCCACCCCACCAGAGGAATCGGAAATTGCCTCCAAACCACAGTAGTTTTATTATAGGCCTGCAGTGCATTGCTACACCCTCAGTGGCCACGAATAGGAAATAGATCTGTTACTTCATAACTGTTGTATCAATTAGAAACTACACTGATTTATTCAGGCTATCAACGGTATAACAGTGCAGATGCAAACTACTCAAAGAAAACACCTATGAACATAGGAACATGTAACAAGATTGCCAAAGGTGCCTTTGACTAGCTTCGACGAGTTGACGTGGGTTTAATCAAGATTTGTACTGTGCGGACTCGGTAGGCCTACTTAACCCACGCATTTTCATTTGCTCACACATTTTCTGTCCCCTTGATTTTGCAAAGAAATTTTTTTAATGGACATTTTCAACTGCCGACCTGGTTTGTCTCTCAACGCGGGAAATAAACAGTCTCGTGAGATGCTGAGATGCTAAGCAAATGAGTTTGGTTTGTTTAGCCCGCCCGCCATGCATGAGCGGGCTCTTATTTTCACAATCAACATTCTTTACATGCTTTGGACGGCACAGGTAGAACCAAAGAGGCCTGTGCTTGTTTTAGTTATCCAATCATTTCGCTACGTAAAGGAAAAGCTGCCTCAGCCTCCCCATTCAGAAAAAGTAACAAATTTCACGACTTGGTGTTTTCCTGTACCCGGTGACTGGTAACGCCAGTCACTGGTGGCCCCCTTTAATGGCAGTAAGTGTTGTGACAGCTATTGTATGGAGCCGCTGTTCCGTGGCAGTCGTTTCATGCATACAAAACCCAGCACTATGTGTAACACCACTGAAGGGAGCCATCAGCTAGAATGCCCAACGAAACATCAGTTGATTTGTCTATGCACTGCCAATCCCTCTTTTACTCACTGAAAGATGCATCCCCCGTGCCTCTCGTTGCCATCATAATGAGCGTAAATCCTGGGGGATGGGTGTATATAAACCACCCCCCCCTTTGGGGTTTGGGAGGATGGTCTATTAAACCCCCCCCTACTTTTTTGAGCAAAAAATCTTTTAGCCGATTGTGAAGAATTTTCTGGAATGCTTGCAAAATCACTAAAATGGGAAAACAATTTTAAGACGACTTAGAGACAGCTCTGACACCGTTAGATCTTGCACAAGTCCCTTCTACTTTACTTCAGCTTTTGCAAAGTTTTACTATGTAGGACCTTTCTAATCGAAAAAATATAAACAAAACACAGTGAGGGAATTTTAAACGAACCGCATGCGCAAACGACATAGGTCGCTGTCATCCACGGAGAAATAACAATGTTTCGTTCCACGAAGTGACCCATCTGGATAGGTCGCTGTTTGCGCTCATTAAATATGACAATAAAACTTTAACAAAGTGACATATATGGTTTTGGCGCCCCATTTTGACCTAATACTTAACATTTTTGCCCAACCAAATATCTCATATATTGATTTAACTATCTTACTTTATTAAAATACGAATTCTGTTTCAATAAAAGTTAGTATAGTGAGGGAAATGAAAGATCCAAAACGGACCCAATTTCAAACGCGTTTTTCTCGAAATGTCAAAAACTGAGATAGGTCAAATAGGGGTACGACTGACGTGATGTGCGCGCGCTTTACAGCTGGGTTCTAACATTTCGAAAAGAGGAAGTTTGAAAAGTGCTTGTAAATTTTCAACTACTTTCTCATTAAAAAAACAGACTTTTTATGCGCACTGAGATCAAATTAATCAGTAATCGCTTAAAAATCAGTAGGGCAGGTGTTATAACACAAAAATTGAATGCTTTATCTGTCGATGGAAGCCTTGGGAAAATGAGATGCTCCGTGGATCACCTCGAGAGGCTAATTCTACACCACTAAAAGCAGTCAATATTTGTATACCGATCAACAAATAAACGAAAACCAGAAGACTGATCTCAGCGGACGAAATCGATCTCGTCTTTTTGTTCTTACGAAGCTATATGACTTTGACCCTTTTTGGCCTTATAATTTTCCCCCACGGAAATCTTTACCAGCCTAAACTAAAGTTGACCCAGACAAAATATACGGGTGCTAGTCGAGAATGGCAAATGAGCTACGAGGATGTATTTTAAATATTTCATAAAAACTCACAATGTTTACAGTTTTCAGCTTACTCACAGCTTTCTATTTACAGAGGAGATAATATCGAATGTATTTAAATAAAGTAAAAAAGAAAGAAAATTTCAGTCGGATTATTTCGTTTGGTTGCAAATAGTAACCACTTCAAAGTTAGAAAAACTTGACAGGGTTTGAGAAAGGGAGCTTTTGTAACACAGAGCAGCACTTATATTGGCACACGTTTTTCATATACAAGAACGATTGATGTCAGACTACCGCAGAATCTTGACTGGATTTGAGCAAGTCCTGTGGCACATCCCAGGCCACCATGCTCAGCTGCGTAGCTGGCCGGCCTGGCTCCGGAGTCGCAGTGTCCGAATCCCGCGACACCTCGGCCTCGGTCGAGCTTTGATTCGGTATGCTTCCTGTGAGCGGAGCAACGATGGGCGAGCTGGTGCCGATTTTACCCGTCGGCGTTGATCGCTCTTCTGCGGTGGCACTTTCGGGATCGTGTTCATCCATCGGCAGCTCCCTTGTTTCAGTTTTCTCATTCTGTAGAAGTAACACGGGGGCAGGAATCGTTGTTTGTTTAACCTGTAATTTAATTTCATGATTTAAGCGGCATTTGGGGGGGGTTCTTTGACGAATTAAGGAAACTGTTTCTCGGATTTTTAACAAAAGTACCGGCAATCATTCATACATCACATCTCTTCTCTGTATATCTGACATCCCTTGGGACATCCCAAACACCGAACCAACGACCAATGCACATTGTAAAGATATTAATAACGTAAGATATGAAATCATGAAAATGGATGA